AAGAGGCCCACTCGTCCGTCCATGTTGCCATTAGAGTTCTCACTCGAGCCTCCACCGCGAGGCGGCTAGGATATAGGTTGGCCAACTTCGACCACTATAAACTAATTTTTACCCCTCTTTGTTTTTTTTGAACTACAATGAGGTCATCAGTGCACGACGCTGGCGTCGTTTTGAAAGCAGTCGAATTTTGCCTATATTTGACGACTTTTCCAAGGACGCTTATCCGCCACGTCGAAGATTGCAATCATTGGCGATTAGGGATTGCTTTTGATGTCCCAGTGTTGTGAGTTTATGCGCCTAATTTTATTCCTTGCGAATGGAGGACGTTTTTATGGAAAGTTTTTGAATATTTTCAAAATAAAGCGTATCTCTCTCTCATGCAAACACTTGGAACGTGGACCTTCGCATTCCTAGCGTTTTAGCAAAGGCACCTTCGGTTAGAACGTACATTCCATTCGGCGTATAAGTTCAGCAAAAACTCATAGTCTTCTGCTGCGATGGCAAAGAAGTCGACTGCGAGCAGGATGGCCAGGGGATCGCTTTGTGGATCGAGCCTGAAAGAAAAGGAGGCTAGGTTTAGCTGGGTTCATGTTCAGGATAGACAGTTGATAAACGTTGAATGGCGTAACTTACAAAAGAAGTAGTTTGCTATATTCCAGAGCAGCTCGATAACAGCTTCGCGTAGCGATGTAAAAGATGTAACGGAAGAGAGCTATGTAGAGACTCCTTAAGAAGAAAAAGAGAGAATGATGGTTACACAATGTTAGAATCTCACCTGTTATTTTGTATCCTATAATCCAGTTTGCAGTTTTCCGTGGAGAAATTGAAAGACAAATGGAAAGCCGATTGCAGCACATACAGGGCACGCTCTGAACAGTAAGTACAGTGAAATAGGGGAGACAAAAACATCTCACGTACCCAGCAGGTCTACTGCTACTTCTGAATTGTCAGAGTGCATAAGGTATTCGCTCATTTGCAGCAAACTGTCAACGTGGTAGGGGGCTTTTGAAAGTAACAACTGGTTTAAAAAAAACAGTAACGAAGTCAGAGGCACGTAGTACTAACCGATATGTGGTTTGGGTCAACACTGTCCTGGAGGGCGTAGAAAGCCTTTTGTTGACGGGCGTATTCCTTGGA